TGAACGATCAACAGTGAAGAAAGCTGACAAAAGAAAATTGAAATGCAATTGAAACATGGTGCTGCAGGAGAATTTTGCAAATACCCTGTACTGGTGGAAAGACAAAAATGCAGTTCCTAGATCAAATTAAGCCAGAACTTTCTCCAGAAGCAAAAAGGACAACACTGAATCTCTTGTACTTCAGACACGTAATGAGAAGGCAAGACTCACTGAAGTAGACCATAATGCTATGAAAAACTTAAGGCAGAAAAAGAAGAGAAAGAACAACTATGAGATGGATTGATTCTATACAGGAAGGCACAGACTTGTACTTACAAGAATTGAGACAATTTGACAGGATATTGTAAGAATATATTATAATCTTCATCGTGGAGACTACATTAAAGAATGCCATATGAATTTGACTAGTTCATTGCACAGTGATAAAACCAATCTTCATATGGAATACCTTGACCCTTCAAGAACTGCAGAAGGGAGGCAATTAAACCTGGCCCTAGAAAAATATAGTAATATTTATGGACAGGCAAATTATAGACTAGTTTTTGAAGCGCACTTTCTCTCCTCTTCTTCCTCTTCTAAACAAGACCCTCTAATCCCGGATGAGCCCTTTTTTTTGGCTCTTGGCAGAGCAGCGCAGCAGCAGAGGCAGAGGCTGGGACAGAATGCTGAGAGTGGAGAGGGGACTGGTGGAGGCAAGGTAGGAGCTGGGCAGAGAAGCGGAGGGACAGAAGCAGTGGAGAGGAAGAGAGGCGAGGCCAGAAGGGCCAGGAGAAACTAGAGGGGAGTGGCCTGAGAGGCTTATATGGTGGTGCTCAGCCATTGGCAGTGCCAACGGATGTGGCACCAATAGCGAGGTCCCTTGTCTGCATCCCTTCGCTGCAGCTGGGGCTGCCGGAGGACACCCTTCCCTGGGGGCAGGTTTTTTTGTGTTTTGTTTTGTTCTTTCCCGAAGCGTGATCTGGAGCTGGAAAAGAGGTTCTCTCCACTTGGGGAGGCTGAGGCTGATGAGGCCATGGGAGACCAGTGGGGCCCCCAGCTTGGGACCCCAAGCAGCAAGGGGGCCGCTGCAGGAGAGGCGAGGGCCAGGGCCAGGGCACCACCAGGAAGAGACGGCAGCGGGTGATCATCATCGGGGACTCCCTGCTGAGGGCACTGAAGTGGCAGTGTGCCACCCCAAATTTGGGGCGAGGGAGGTCTCTTGCCTGCCAAATACACGTATCTGGCATGTGAAGGATAGAGTGGAGCGTCTTGTTTGCTCCGGGGGTCACCAGCCACTGCTGGGGATCCATGTGGGCACAAATGACATAGCTAGTCAGGGTGTGGGCAGGATCACCAAGGATTTTGAGGCCTTGGGGAAGAAACTCAGGGAGCTAAAGGCCCAAGTAGCCCTCTCATCTATCTTACCAATCCGTGCATTTGGGCCAGGCAGGGATATGAGGGTCGCTGAGATGAAGGACTGGCTTAGGGTGTGGTGCCAGAAGGAACACTTCGGGTTCCTTGACCACAGCACCTGCTTTCTTGCCAATGGACCTCTGGCAAGGAACAGGTTGCACCTCACAGGGATGGGGAAAAGGTCGTTTGGAAATGTTCTAGTAAACTCTGTCCAGAAGACTTTAAACTGAGCCAGGCGGTGGGGAGGTGGGTTCAGGCCCCCCAGAAACTTGTCCTCACTGGACAAGTATGGGGAGAGGATCAGGGCTCTAGGAACATGGTGACAGAGGTACTGCAGGGGCTGAGAGGATTCCGATGAAGAGAGGGCAGGTATCAGGGTAGATGGGAGTAAGGAGGAGGCTGGGGACTCTCAAAAAAGGAAGCGGTAGGAAGGAGTTGAGGTGCATGTACACCAATGCTAGGAGCATGGATAATAAGCAGAAAAAGCTTGACGCTCTCCTGGGAATAGGAGGGTATGACCTGGTGGGAATCACAGAAACTTGGTGGGATGAAAGGCAAGACTGGACTGTAAACATAGAGGGGAATCACCTGTTTATAAAGGACAGGAAGGGAAGGAGGGGTGGGGACATAGCTTTATATGTCAGGGAAGGGATAGGATGGAGTGAGATAGAATGCAGCACAGATGGGGATTCGGTAGAGGCAGTCTGGGTGAAACTAAGGGGTTTTGACAGGGAGAGGGACCTGACAGTGGGGGTATGTTATTGCCCTCCAGGTCAACTTGAGACCCTGGATGATGTCCTGACAGATCAGGTTTTAAGCATATCTCAGGAGACGGACACAGTAATTATGGGAGACTTCAGTCTCCCGGATATTACTGGGGAGACTCACTCAGCGGTGACAGCCAGGTCACATCGCTTCCTAGAAGCTATAGAGGGAGGGTTTTTCACACAGAGGGTCCGAGGGGAGACCATGGGGTGGGGAGCATCCTTGACTTGGTCTTGACCAATAGGGAGGAGCTGATAAATGAAGTACAGATTAGGGGAGCTCTGGATGCGAGTGATCATTCCATACTTTGCTTTGAGACCAGGGGAATGGGGACGTGCAGCAGGTCGAGTACTAGAAGCTGGTATTTCAAGAGGGCCAACTTTGGTGAACTGAAGGCCAGACTGGGGAAAGTCTCCTGGGATAGGTTAGTGGAAGGCAAGCGAGCTGAGGAGGGGTGGATGGAACTCAAAAGGGAGGTTTTGGAGGTGCAAGCCTTGACGATACCTCTAGTTAGTAAGGTGGGGAGGCGAAGGAGAGCGCTGCCATGGATGTGAACGGAGGTGGTTAGAGGGATTAGTCGCAAGAGGAACTTCACATACTTCACATACCTGGGTACTGGGGCAAATAGATAAAAGGGTATACTGGGAGAAGGGGGCTCATTGCAGAATGATTCTTCGCAAGGCTAAGGCTGATTACGAGCTGAGGCTTGCAAAGAATATCAGCAGCCACAAAAAGGGCTTCTATCAGCATGTAAATAGGAAGAGGGAGGGGAGACAAGTAGTGGGACTGCTAAATAAAGAGGAAGGAGATCCAGTGACTGATACGAGGGAACAGGCACAGATTCTAAATGACTATTTTGCCTCTGTGTTTTTCCCAAAGCAGGATGGGGGAGATCCACATGGGAGATTAGATTAGGCCGGGTTCTTAGGGGCACAGATTAGCGTCACCCCCTTAGAAGTCAAGGGGCTCCTCAGGCCATTGGACATTGCAAATGCACCCGAGAGTACTTTGAGAGTTAGCAGGGGTTCTCTCACGGCCGCTGGTGGTGTCAGTGGTCCCAGTTTTCAAAAAGGGTAGTAGAAGGGACATGGGGGAATTACAGAGCAGTTAGCCTTACGTCCATTGTAGGAAAAACAATGGAAAGGCTCACTAGCGAGAGAGCTAGTGATGCTAGATAGGGAAGGGAGGCTGGTGGCCACACAACACGGTTTCTGCAAAAACAGGTCCTGCCAGACAAACCTTGTGCAATTCTAAGGTAAGATTTCGAGGTGGCTAGATGGAGGGGTGCAGTGGATGTGGTTTACCTGGATTTCAGCAAGGCCTTTGACAAAGTGCCCCATGATATGGTGAGAGGTCATTGAGGCCCCATCGGTGAGGGTGTTCAAAGATAGGCTAGACATGCACATGGTATGCATGTCATGAGCAATCAAGTCTTCCCTGACTAAGTAACTTAGTTTTTCAGAGAAATAACCCCAAAACAACAATATTAAAAGGAATTATGCATTTAGAAATTCAACAGGAATGCTAACATATGGTACTGAGTATCACATGTGTATTCGATAAAGAAAACTCTACAGTTTACCCCCACTCCCAAAAAAAGTGTGGCTAAAAGAATACAGCTTATAACCAAGCACCAAGAAGCATGGCAGGTGAGTTTAACATTACCTTGTTCCTACAGTGCAAGTGCAAATCTATTTTTTCCTAGGTAAACATGTAGACTGAATGGAGATGAGTAAATATAGAGGTGACTGTGGGGTTGTAGAAAACTGATAATGAACAACTTATCTCCACATACATCTCTCCTTTTTTAAAGCAGACTTTCCCAACCTGATGCCCTTCAGATGTGTTGGATTAGAACTCCTAATTGTGCCAGTCAAATATAGCTATTAGCATAATCTTTCCCAGAATTACAATAAAACAAATGCAGTCCACCAAGGAACTCAAAAGCATGTGCAGCACTTTAAACAGACTATCTTTAAACCAAATGAAGAAACAATTAATGAATCTGGAATACCTATCAAGGCAGTTTTACAAACTCCAAAGTTAGTTCTCAGTACACAGCATAGGTTTCCTGCTTACTGAACGTATGATGTATGGTTTTGGGGACTAATACGGATACTTTTTAATGTTCTCAGTCCTGACCAAGAGCAGAGCAAGACCAAATAATACAAAGATTATTTCAACCTTTTATAATGATTTTCTTTTTATTCTCCATACCATGCTAGAAGAACATTGATTCTGGGGGGAGGGTGCAGTGATACTTTTTTTTTTTTTTTTTTGGAGATGTATAAATGGCTTCCAGTTCAGCAAGGAAGGAAGCATTGATGGTACACTGATTTCAACATGGCAGTTAAAACAACAACAAAATTTTCAGGAGGGTGTGGATGACAGAAAGAATTTTCAGTTCCTCCAGACCAAACTGAGGAAACAGGAGGAATCACAACTTTGTTATTTTATTCAGAACCAAAAATTAACAAAAAAAAGGACTTTGAATTTCTTCATTTGTTAACTTGATAAAGACGCAGCTTTGTAAAAACAGATACTCTAATGTTATTGGAGTATGACACTTGAGTTTCTATTTTGCAATTTCTAGAATCCTTACATTATGTGAAAAAATTCCAAATGCTTGGCAAATTAATCCAATATTATTTTAGAAAAGAGTACTCTTAGGGACAATCCAACAGTCATTGGTGTATGTGTCCTGCATTGAGAACACTATATCTGGAAAGGCAAATAAAAGATGTGTTAAATCAATAAAGTCCCTGTCTCACCAATAGCAGATATTCAATTGTGACAGTTTAAATAATTTGCAGAATTATATTTAAATATTTATAAATAAATACCTGGTATATTTCTATAGGCCTTGTTTCCATGTTTAGATCCCAAACTTTGACAGTGAGGTAATCCCTTGCTAAAATATATCGTCCACTGTGACTGAATTTGACATCTGACACAGAAGAAATAATTTCAGAGAAAAATGAGCGGTTACTGGGGTCTTCTGGTTCTTCAAAAACTGGTGAAGCAAAAAATAGGAAAATGTGAATATTACCTTGAGAGCTTTTATACACAGTTGTTCTTTATATTTTACTGGAACATTTTCAAATTAATTAAAAGAAACAGAGAAACAGAACGAGTCAGAAGGGGTCTCTCGGGCCATCTAGTCTGACCCCTGGCTCCAGCCGGCTCCGCTCATGACATGCCCACCATGTGCATGTCCAGCCTATCCTTGAACACCCTCACCGATGGGGCCTCAACCACATTCTGTGGAAGCCCATTCCATACCCTCAGGGTCCTAACAGTCAGGAAGTGCTTCCTGGCATCTAAATGGAACCTTAGTTCCCTGAACTTTGCTCTGTTGGAGCGTGCCCTGCCATCCCCTGCAGGAGAGGTCTCAACCCACCTCCATGTGACATCCCCTCACATACCTGTATGTTGCCAACATATCCCCTCTGAGTCTCCTCTTCTCCAGGCTGAAGAGACCTAGTTCCCTCAGTCACACCTCATATGACATCCTCTGCAAGCCGGCCTCCAACCTTGTGGCCCTACCCTGCACTGACTCTAACCTGGCTATATCCTTCCTGTAATGAGGGGCCCAAAACAGAATGCAATACTGCAGTTGCGGACGCACCAGAGTCGTATAGAGTGGTAGTAATACCTCTCTTGATCTAGAAGCCACACTTCTGGCTATGCAACCAACGGTGGTGTTTGCCCTCTTTTTTCCTTTAATAAGTTTTATTATTATTTTTCTACCAACTAAGAAAAAGAAACTAAAAACCATCAATCATCAGAAACACCAGACCTACTGGGTCAGCCCCCCCATACTTTTTTTTGTTAGTAATCCAGAAACATATTTAAATCCAATATGTCCAAGATCTTTTTTAATATCAGTTCATTGGTAGGTGGTTCTTCACTCCTCCAATGTTGGGCAAATGCAATCCTCACCACAGTAATTACATGTAGAATCAAATACATTGCTTGATTATCAACATCATCAGGCACAATGCCTAATAAGAACACTTAAGGTTTAAAGATTAAAGGTTTTTGTAACATTCCCTCAAGCCATTTATGTATTTTAGCCCAGTATTTTTTGCCTTATCACACGTCCACCACATATGATAAAAAATATTTGCATTTCCAACATCCATTTGACATATTTGGAAACATCTTAGCTAATCTATTTGGTGATAGATACCATCTATAAAACATTTTATAAAGATTTTCTTTATATGAGGTTGCTAATGTTACTTTAATATTTCTTTCCCACAGCTTTTGCCATTTCATCATTCGCCCTCTTAACCACTGCATCACACAGCTGACTCATGTTTAGCACCCCGAGGTCCATTTCACAAGTGCTGCTCTCCAGCCACTTTTCCCCTAACCTATATTTATGACACCCAGCTGCCCCAGCTGCAAGACATTGCACTTACCCACACTGAACGCCATCCTGTTGTCTCCTGCCCACTTCCATAGTCTGTCCAGATCCTTTTAGATCTGGAGCACCTGCTCCTCAGTTGTGGCCACTGCTCCAGTTTTAGTATCAACTGTCACTTTGATCAGCAGACTGTTCACCTCTTCTTCCATGTTATTGATGAAAAGATTAAACAGGATCGGCCCCAGGACAGAGCCCTGGGGGACCTTGCTTGTCACTGGCTACCATCCCGATGATTCCCCTCTAATGGTTACCTTCTGCTTTCAGTCAGTCAACCATGCCCTAATCCACCAGACAGTACTTTGGCCTATCCTAAAACCCCTCAGTTTCTCCACCAGGATATCATGGGGCACTTTGTCAAAGGTCTTGCTGAAATCCAGGCAGACCACATCCACCGCATCCCCTCCATCTAGCCACCTCGAAACCTTGTCGTAGAATTCCACAAGGTTTGTCTGGCAGGACCTGTTTCTGCGGAAGCTGTGTTGTGTGGCTGCTAGCTTCCCTTCCCTATCTAGCATCATTAGTTCTCTCACTATTAGGACCCTTTCCATTGTTTTTCCAACAATGGACATAAGGCTAACTGGTCTGTAATTCCCCCTGTCCCTTCTACTACCTTTTTGAAAATTGTAGCCTTCCACTCCTCTGGAATTTCACCCGTTCTCCATGAGGCATCAAAAATGGAGGCCAGTGGCCATGCGAGAACCCCTGCCAACTCTCGAAGTAAACACGGGTGTAACCTGTCAGCGTCTGGCACATTTGGAACGTCCAATGCCCTGAGGAGACCCTCAACTTCTAGGGGAGTGACTCTTATCTGTGCCCCTATGACCCCAGCCTCATCTAATCTCCCGTGTGGATCTACCCCATCCTGCCTTGGGGAAAACACAGAGGCAAAATACTCATTTAGCATCTGTGCCTGTTCCCTCATATCAGTCACTGAATCTCTTTCCTCCTTAATTAGTGGTCCCACCACTTGTCTCCCCTTCCTCTTCCTATTTACATGCTGAAAGAAGCCCTTTTTGTTGCTGCTGATATTCTTTGCATGTCTCAGCTCATGATCAGCCTTAGCCTTGCAAAGAATCCTTCTGCAATGGGCCTCCTCCTCCCAGTATACCCTTTTGTCTATTTGCTCCAATACCCATTTCCTACATAGGTTCCTCTTGTGTCTAATCCTTCTAACCACCTCCTTTCACATCCATGGCGGCGCTCTCCTTCGCCTCCCCACCTTACTAACTAGAGATATTGTCAAGGCTTGCACCTCCAAAACCTCCCTTTTGAGTTACATCCACCCTCAACTCTCTTGCCTTCCAGAAACTTATCCCAGGAGACTTTCCCCAGTCTGGCCTTCAGTTGGCCAAAGTTGATCCTCTTAAAGTCCCAGCTTCTAGTGCTCGACCTGCCGCACGTCCCCAGTCCCCTGATCTCAAAGCAAAGGATGATCACTTGCATCCAGTGCTCCCCTAATCTGTACTTCATCTTCCAGCTCCTCCCTATTGGTCAAGACCAAGTCAAGGATGCCCCCCACCCCATGGTCTCCCCTCGGACCCTCTGTGTGAAAAACCCTCCCTCTATAGCTTCTAGGAAGCGACGTGACCTGGCTGTCACCGCTGAGTGAGTCTCCCCAGTAATATCCGGGAGACTGAAGTCTCCCATAATTACTGTGTCCCTCCCCCAAGATATGCTTAAAACCTGATCTGTCAGGACATCATCCAGGGTCTCAAGTTGACTGGAGGGCGATAACATACCCCCACTGTCAGGTCCCTCTCCCTGTCAAAACCCCTTAAGTTTCACCCAGACTGCCTCTACTGATTCCCCATCTGTGCTGCATTCTATCTTACTGCATCCTATCCCTTCCCTGACACATCAATCTACACCCCCACCCCTCCTTCCCTTCCTGTCCTTTCCAAACAGGTGAAAGCCCTCTATGTTTACAGTCCAGTCTTGCAAGTTTCTGTGATTCCCACCAGGTTATACTCTCCTATTCCCAGGAGAGTTTCAAGTTCTTCCTGCTTATTACCCATGCTCCTAGCATTAGTGTACATGCACCTCAACTCCTTCCCACCGCTTCCTTTCCTGGACGTTCTCAGCCTCCTCCTTCCTCCCATCTTTCTTGATACCTGCCCTCTCTTTGCAGGACTCCTCTCAGTCCCTGCCCTACTTCTAACATCCTGTTCCTAGAGCCCTGATCCTCTCCCCACATTTGTCCAGCACGGACAAATTTCTGGGGGGTCTGAACCTGCCCCCCCCCCCCAGCTCAGTTTAAAGACTTCTGGACAAATCTCGCTAGAGCATCTGCAAAGGATCTTTTCCCCATCCTCGTCAGGTGCAACCCATTCCTTGCTAGAAGTCCATTGGCAAGAAAGCAGGTGCCGTGGTCAAGGAACCCCAAGTGTTCCTTCTGGCACCACACCCTAAGCCAGTCATTCATCTTGCTGACCCTCCTATCCCTGCCTGGCCCAAATCTCCAGACCGGTAAGGTAGATGAGAAGGCCACTTGAGCCTTAAGGTCCCTGAGTTTCTTCCTCAAGGCCTCAATGTCCCTGCTGATCTTGACCACTCTGCCCAGCTACGTCATTTGCGGCCACATGAATCACCAGAAGTGGCAGGTGACCCCTGGAGCGAACAAGATGCTCCACTCTATCCTTCACATGCTGGATGTGTGTGCCTGGCAGGCCACAGACCTCCCTCATCCCAAGGTTGGGGTGGTACAGCGCCACCTCAGTGCCCGTCAGCAGGGAGTCCCCGATGACAATCATCCGCTGTCGTCTCTTCCTGGTGGTGGTAGGCAGCCATGTCCTGGCCCTCGCCTCTCCTGCAGCAGCCCCTTTGCCACTTATGGTCCCAGGCAAGGGGTTCTGCTGGTCCCCTTGGCTTCATCAGCCCCAGCCTCCATAAGTGGAGAGAACCTCTTTTCCAGCTTCAGATCAGTGCCAGGAGAAGGAGGAGGCCGTGCTGAGTGGGGCCTTATAAGCTTTTCAGGTTGGTGTCCCCACCCCCCTGCTTTGTCCTGGCCCCTCTGACCCCACCTCTCTTCCTCTCCCCTGCTCCTGTCCCCCAGCTCCTCTGCCCAGCTCCTACCTTGTCTTTGCCAGTCCCTTGGCCACCCTCAGCACTCTCTCCCAGTCTCTGCTTCTGCTGCTCCGCTGCTCTGCCAAGAAGCAAGAGCCAAAAAAGCATTAATGTGAGTAGTCACATGGGCTCCCATCCTTTTGTGTAGCTCTCACTGCCCCCAATCTCCTCTGCTGTGCTACCAAATTTTGGCTGTGGATGGCAGTGGCCAGAAAAAACGTGTTTCCTCTTTAGACAAAGCCAAAGGAGAGCATAATCCTCCATGATTTTAGTATAAAGGTACTTTCCAAACAGGGCACATCTAAATAACTGGAAAGGATTTAAAGGACATTTAGATAATTCCTGAGTTAATAATGTTGTTAAAGTTTAATGGAACTTCTAAGGATCTCTTGCCCAATATGTCACTCAACAGTTTAAAAAGCAATATCTTGACTCAATCATAAGGGTACTCCATAATTTAAAAGATGCCTATGATATCCTGGCTCAGTCAAGAAGATACCTTAGAATTATGTCAGGTC